AAATAAAACATGCATAAATTACTGTTGGAATTTTTTCAAGTTTTAAATCCATTTTTTTGGTCAAAATTTTCCAACGTGCTTTAAGTCGACCAAAAGCACATTCTATAGGGTTGCGTGCAGTCCTCAACATACTGTTAAAAATGACTTCATCATTTTTCTTGCATGTTCTATATTCTTTCATACAATGTGGAAGTAGTGGATATGCAGGATCTCCAATTAGGTAGCATGGAACTTTTATTTTGTTCTTAGTAATAGTTTGAAAGGTTCCTGGAAGTCTTGAACTTCTCAAATTAGTATTAATAGAAGAGTTTGAAAAGACTTTAGCGTCATGCACACTACCAGGCCACATACATTCAACATCCAAAAAACTGCCTTTGTAATCACAAACTGCTTGAACCTGTAATGAATAGTATTGTTTGTAACAAAAATAATCTTGAGAATGATTAGTTGGACAAACAATGGAAATGTGAGTGCCATCAACACAACCAAAGGCTTGAATCATTCCAAACTTTGACTCAAACTCAGATATTTTTTCTCTCATTTGCTGTTTATTTTTTGGTAAATTAACAAACCTTGGTCCTATATACTTTACAATAGCATTACAAACTTCAAAAATGACTGCTGAAGTAGTACAAACTGCAATTCCAAAAGTGTTTGCTGTCATGTTCAATGTACCACTGTCTTTTAAATAGTATAGCGTTATAGCAACTTTTTTATCTGGTGTGATTGCTCTTATATTTGGTGAGTAAGAATCTGGAGATATATAAGGTTCAAGAAGGGAGACAAGTTCAAAAAAGGAATTTTTATCTAATCGAAAGTTTTTTTTATAAGCTTCTTTAGGTGTAATGTTTAATATGAGATTTTGCCACCACAAATCTGTGCGTCCAATATAGAACCAACAGCTTCTTTTTTTCCTGTTTTTTTTAGCTAATCTTAATCTTCTTAAAATACGACGTTTAGAACTCAATAAATCAAGAACTATTAGCTGATTAAAATCCCTTTTCTTTTTAATAGCCATTGTAAATTGTAAAAGATAAATTTGAATATTAATAACTTGTATATTGATCATTTTTAAAGTTGTAAAGGTAAGAATTTGTTTATGTAATGGTAAGGAATCCATTTTTCAGCTTTTAATTATTTTAACTGTGCACGTGATGTAAACAAATATTTCATCCCGGTTTAGCGGGCTGGAAAAAATTCATATAAACTTAATAACAATATTCATCTCACCGAAGTGAGACAGTCCGGCTAACAGGGCTAGCCCGGTTCATATAAACAGCCCCTCAGAGATGAAACAGGATATATGATGGAAATATACACCTGAATGGAAATGCCGATTTAAACGTATTCTAAACTTTTATTATAGGATTATTATTAGGGGTGCACCGATGCCTACTTTTGGCCGATGCATCGGCATCGGCCTGTACCTATCGGCATCGGCCAAAAGTAGGCATCGGTGCACCCCTGATAATAACCCTATAATAAAATTTTAGAATACGTTTAAATACAGACGTTTTATGGACGTTTGTTCTAAACGTTAATCTGGTTTTGTTCTAAACGGATAATCGACCAAATCTGAACATTTTGTCAAAACGTTGTTTTGACGTTTAATAGACGTTTGCGTGTTTACTGGAAGCAGCTCCGTTTGATGTTATGCAGACAATATTTGAAAAAACTATATTAAACTCTTTAAGCCTCTTTTTAATTAGTTCTGTGCATATCTCAGTAGGTCCAATCGATGAATCCGACTCAATCCAAGATTCCAAAAAATACTGTCGTTCCCATCAATAACGATATTAAATACCGGCGATTTTAACTGGATGCCCATTTATTTGTCATAAGGTTAAACGCTTTTTTATTTAGCCTATTCTCTAATATTTCATTAACAAAATACTATTTTTCTTATTTTATTGGCATAATCCATTATTATTTGTAATGGATTATGCCGATGAATCTTGTTTTTGGGCGATTTGGTATCTCTATGTATCCTTTTCCTTTTAATAGCATCTTTAAATTTTCAGATGTACAAAATTTATTAGAAAAGAATCTTTTGCGATCATTCTTGAAAGTTAAATTTCAAGAGACTCGTCAAAAAAAGGAGTAATTTTTGATGCTAAAGCAAATGCTGGTTCTTTTGACCATTCTTCTATATTTCGTTTTAATACATTAATTTTATGCTGACTCTTTTGATAGCCATTTAAATTAATAGTACTTTCACCTGCTATTTTAATTCTTTTTGAGCCTTGTACGGCTATATCTCTTGTTTCTGCACGATGATAGTAATTCCAAATTAAACTTTTATCCGCTAAAAGGTATCAGGAGTTTTTGGTGGGGGAGGGGGGAATGTGGAAATATTTTTGTGTTTTGTACCACATTTGCGTCTCCTAAAAGAAAAAAAAAGGTCCTCAATTTCTATAATATTTTAAGACTTTCAGATTTTGGGTGGGGTAGGGTTACATTACACCCATCCCCTCCCCCCCCCCCTAGATCTGTCACTATTCACATGGTATGTGGTGTAAGCACCATTATACTAATACTTGCATATGTAGATTTAAAAAACATGTAATCTTATAAACATGTATTAAAAAAAGTAATAGTTGATCAAATTTGTGAAACAATCCAACGAATATTTAAAAATTTTTTAACATTATTATCTGATTCATAAATTTACTATCATTTTTTTATGCACGAGTTTACTTGTTTTCTCACAAAAGCAGTATTTGCCTTCGTTTTGTAAAAATCTTTGCCATGCTTGGTATTGTTGCACGATTTACAGATTGGAGCAATATAATAATATTTTTTTGAAAGGTTTTTTCGCCACAAATGCCCTCCCACTTCAGCCTCATTTGTGCAGATCAACATCGAACATATTGTAGGGGTTCTTCTTCTAGTTATTTTCTCCCAAATATTGAGCCACCCACCAGGAGTTTGAGATCTATCACATGCAGACTTTTCAACATTTTGGACATAAGCGCGACCTTTAAATAACACTTTTTTCATCTTCGAAATTTTTTTCACTTTTTTCATCTGCAAATACAAAGTTTGTTTCTTTATTTAATTTCAATGATATATATATATATATATATATATATATATATATATATATATATATATATATATATATATATATATATATATATATATATATATATATATATATATATATATATAAGTAAACATAATTTAAGTGGCATCTTTAATAATATGTGTAATAATATTATAGGCAATAAAACATCATATACGGGATCATACTATTTAATTCTTTTTTTACGTGATATTTTGGCTCATATAGTGAGAGCCATTATCAAACTAATATAACTATAAAAAAAACCATTCCCTTTACAAATATGAGTTTTCCATACACCGTAAAGATGTAATTACAAACGTACTTATAAAACCGAAATTATCTATTTCACCGAGCATTGCAGCCGGTATTTTTAAAAGTTTTTTAGCATACAAAATTTGTTAAGTGGATAACATTCAAGATGAAATTATTATTCTAATTAAGAATTTTACTGAAAATGAATATTGTTATAAACTATTTTCAGATATTGCTAAAAATTATAAATACTTCACAAATCTATCTTATTATCAAAAATTTTATACCAAAAATCTAGTTATTTTACCATGGGTCCCAAAATTAGGCCTTGTTCTTAGAAGAGAATTTTGTAAAGTCGGCGTTAAAACAGTCTTCCGTTTTAGTAATCCCTTGATTGATATACTTTGCCGAAATAAGTCTAATCTGCCTCCAAATAGTCATCAAGGAGTGTACCAACTTGATTGCACATGTGGTGCACGTTATATTGGCGAAATAAGAACACCTGAAATAGTGTGGTACATCTGGAATAGTAGAACATTCATAACATTGTAATGGTAAAATAAACTGGGAGAACCCTAAAACGCTTTTTGTAATTTCAAACAACTACACAAGAAAAATTCGTGAGGTCACTAAAATACGTGTGCAACGTTCAAAATCTAAAGAAAACGTTTTAAATAGCCACAATGGCATTTTGGTGATGACTCTTCATTGCACAGTGGGAAATCACATGGCCAAAAATTGAAGTGTCTTTCTTCAAACACTATGTCTGATAGTGAGTTTTGTTACTAATGCGCTCACTTAAAATACTCAAATTTATGAAGTTATAAATGTGACCGGCTCAATGGTAGTGGCTTCTTGAAGTTAGGCTTTTAAAGAATTTTTTATAAAAATTCTCAAGATGCTGGAACATTTTTGTAACATATAGATCATTAAAAAATTGACAATATATACATCATTGGAAAGGTTATGATATAGACTGTTAAAAATAAAAATAAATAAATTTCTTTAAAAAGTTGGTAATACCATTTTTAGCATTGAAAAAAAAAAAATCATCAAAAAAGTACTAAATTTTAACTTTGATGAAGAATTAAAAAATTGTTTCAATTGTTCCTTTTCCATACTTTGATATATTTTAGTCTATAACGTCTACTAACTATCCTGAGAAGTGTGGCTGCGATCATCAGCTATCTTAAGCGCTAAAAAATTTTGAAAATTTAATGTTTTTTTAAACAAATAAAAAACTTCTTCGAATAAAAACAATTTTTTCTATTTATTACTTAAATTAAAAAAAAAAAAACTACTTTAAGTAGGGAGTTTTGTCACGTGACATTTTATCGCGGAAAAAAATCGTTAATATATTTTTGAAAAACTTCGTCGAAAAAACGCCAGAAATGATTTTATGTAGGTTTTGAAGAATAAAAACCCACCCATGAAAATAAATATTATATACGTACATGTAGATGTTATTTTTTTTAGAAAAGGTTGTACTACAATAATTTGTTTGGGGACGACGTTTTGGTTTAGAATTGATAAAGTTATTTAGTTTTAAATCTTTCAGTTTTGTTAAAATGCAAGTAAATTAAAATAACTCTTCGTCCCCACGTAAAAATAAGTTCTGCAACTATTTATTTATTAAGTGAACAAGTTTTTTTTTTTTTTTTTTCTTTTGTAGTCTAATAGGGTGGGTTTTTTGTTTTCTAAGTAAAGATTATTATAATTTCCCCCGTCTTTAGATATTTTTGGTAAATTTGCCGTTTCTCTTTTACTTGAGAAAAGATTTTTGCACACGTTGAATTCTATATTTTATATAGCTGAGATTTTATTGTAAATTTTAACTTAAGGTATTCTAAAGTGAGTTTGTTTTGTGTTGTTAATGTGGTTGTTGCTAACCAATTAGTAATTGAATCTCAGCAGTTTATCAGTAAGTCTAATTTGTAACTTAGCAATTTTCTTTTTATACAATTTACTTAATTTTTAAGTTTATATATATATATATATACATACATATATATATATATATATATATATATATATATATATATATATATATATATATATATATATATATATATATATATATATATATATATATATATGTATACATATATATAATCTATATATATATATATATATATATATATGTATACATATATATAATATATATATATATATATATATATATATATATATATATATATATATATATATATATATATATATATATATATATATATATAACTATATAATATATATAAAAATATATAATATATATGTATATATATATATATATATATATATATATATATATATATATATATATATATATATATATATATATATATAATAAGTAAAAGACTTTGAAATAATATATTTATATGTTTATATATTTGTTCGAATTGATGACTGGAAAATCTTTACTTATTTAGATAAAATGATAAATGAAAGTATTTATGATTGGTATTTGGATTTAAAAGATACATCTTATGATGCAATATATTGTAGATATTGTTTGGATTTTAAAGTTGAACTGTTCTGCTGCAAGAAAGCTTTAGCCAAAAAGATAAATAGATTAGTTGACACCATCAGAAAATTAAAGAAACAACGAATAAATAAAAAATTAGCATTGTTATTAGGTGAAGCCTTTTTTCCACCTGTGGCAAATTTTTCTGATAATACAGTGAGTGCATCAGAAATTCCTAAAGAAACAATACTGATAAGCGAAAACAAAATGCTTAAAAAAGAAAAGAAAATTTTAAAAAGGAAAATGGAATCTATGATGGATTTACAAATGGATTATTTTACACATCTAAAAGATTTTGAAGATATGACAAACAATCTAAAAATACTTATTTCGAAAAACTCTCTAATAGAAGCTGAATTAAACTTTATTAAAAAGTGTTATTGTGAAAAAGAAGAAAAGCTTAATAATATTGAAAACAAATTAGAGCTATTAAAGTCAAAAAAAGAATCATTTAATGTTAGAAATTTGAATAAAAAAATAAAATATCGTGATACTCAGCTGGAAATAAAAAAGAATAAAATAAATTCGTTAAAAAATGAAGAAAAAAAAAAAATATTGCAATTAAAAAATAAAATAACAGATATTAATTCAATTCTTAAAAACTCAGATATAAACATTTCTGAATTAAAAAACGAAAAAATAAAGCTGCAAAAAAAAGTGAGTAATTTAAAAATTATTTTGCAAAATAAAACCAACTATATTAATGACAACAATATGAAAGATGTTATAAGTTTAGAGAAGGAAGTTGTTTCGTTATATAGTAAGACAAACATTTTAAAAGAGGAGAATCTAGAACTTCAAAAATTGGTTTTTTTGCTGGATGATGACGAAGTAATAACATTTGAAGATGGCAGATACAGTGATGACATTCGAGAAACAATAATGAAACTTCTTTCAATGAACGTGAGTATGAATAGTGTCAATAAAGTCATAAAAATTGTTTTAAACAAACTAGCCAAAAAGAACATATCTAGACTGCCATCAGCCGCTGTAAAATGTAGGTTAATGCAGGAAGCTTCAATTTTAGGTCAATTTCAAGTTGCAGAAGCAATGCTTGAAAATAATTTGATAAATAAAAACTCTAAAATAGGCAATTGTTTGCATGGTGATGGTACTCAGAAATACCATAAGCATTATCAAAACTTTCAAATTACTACAACTAGTGGGAAAACTTTATCTTTTGGTCTGTCAGAAGTGGTTGGCAAAGATGCAGCAACTGTTTTGCAAAACTTTACTAATATAGTAGATGGCATTTGTGACGTTGTTAGCAACTCAGCCACTGAAAAAGAAATTAATTTTGCTAAACTAATAACATCAATAAAATCAACAATGTCTTATCTTTCTTCGGTTAATCCTCTTTTTAACTCACAGTTAAAAACATTAAGGGAAAAGCTTTTGCCTATTGCAATTAGTAACTGGGACTTTCTTTCCTCAAACGTCAAAGACAATATGAAGGACATGAGTAATTTTTTCTGTAAACTTCATTTGCTCGCTAATTTTGCTTCCGAAACTGATAAAGTTTTATATTCTTTCGAAAAAATTCTGCTTCAAAATGATTTTGAAACTGTTTTTGCTTTTAGTGGTAAAGAATGTGGTGCTGTACGGTTAGTTCGTACTACATGTAAGGCATTTCATTCAAGGGGTAGTGAGGAAGCTGGTGTTGCATCATGGTTTAATTCTTTTCTTTCCTCTCGTAACGATAAATCTTATTTTGTTCCATTTATTGGAAATCGATTTAATATTTTGTATTACAATGCAGCTGCCCTATACTATCATAAGGATTCTATAACAAAATTTTTTAATGCTTGGCCTAACCCTAATAATTTATTAAAAGCAATTAAGGAAGATATCACAAATCTTGTATTCATTGCTGAAGTCCGTGCATTAGGTATTATTGACAAACTACTTACTGGTCCAATGTGGAGAATTATCGAATCACTTGATAGTATATTATTCTTAAACCCCTACCTACTTCGCTTGAAAGTTTGACTTTCATCTCTTTGTATCGATGCGTCTTCTTTATTGTTTGCTAATGGAAAAATTTTTGAGGATACCAATCTTTTTCATCAAGATGTGGTTTACACCAAGCTGTTTGAATGCACTCAAAATGATGAGTTTGATTCTTTAATTGTTCAATCACTTGAAATTATTTTCCATGCGATTCTTGTTATTTTGGAACGTCAGTGTGCTGATCAGTTACCAGGTGGTAAATATTGGAATCCATCTAATTCTGTTTCTGAAGCTGCTTCTAATGTCCCTGTCACTAATAAAGCATCAGAAAGCGACTTTGCCATTTTGGATTTAATGGTTCGCACAAAACCCAATGCAAATGTTCAAACTATCCAGGCTTTGACAATGTGGTCTCAGAACCAAACATTAGAATCGCTTAATGCTAAATCAGATGAAGAAAGAAAACAATTGCTTGAATATTCAAGAACTAAAGTAACATTAATGAAAAGCAAATATGAAGAAAGAAAAGAAGCTCTTAAAAAAGATAAAGCTATGCACCTTCTAGCAAAGCAAGAAGAAAAAAATCGAGAAGAAATTAAACTACAACATAAAAAGGTTGCAGCTTGTAATGATTTGATAAATTTAAATGTAAGGGCTTGGATATCATTAGAGGAAGCAGAGAAAACAGTTTTTAATATAGAAGAGCCATTGAAATCAAAAGTACTCCTAGCTCAACTTAATTTTTATTGCATAATCTTAGGTGTCGAATGTGACAAAAAACTTTTTTGTAAAACAAAGGTAGAAGGAAGCAAAAGAATAAACTTGTCTTTAGAGGAATTATATCAAAATCTTCTTATTGTTATTCAAGCAAATTTAACACCAAACAAACAATCTTTAAATAATAATATAAGTAATAATTTAAAGCCTCGTACAATGCGTGATGCAGCTGTTGAAAACAAAAAAAAGAATTAATGGAAAAAATTCAGGATGCAAGACTAAAAAAATTCATAGAGCAACAAAAAAAGCACTCTTTATCAAAATTTATTAACAATCCGTCTGATTTTGTAGGTTTTTCTATACAACATCGTGTTAGAGAAGAAGATGCTCATGAAGTATCTTCGTAAGCACGTGCGCAAGTGGTTCAAATTGATCAATTAAACGGTAGAAGAACTACATACCTTGTTAAGTATGATAATGAACCTGATGAAGTATGGTCATTTCCTTTATTAATAGATTTTGAAAAAGGTGATCTTATTCTTTGTAGCTAGGATTGCGAGGTTTTATTTAATGTAAATTTAGAATTATGTTACAGTATATATTAATCTTATTTCTTTTATTGTTATGTTCCAATAGTTTTTTTTACTACATTTGATTTCAGTGGTTTTTATCTTTGTAAATAGTATGAATCATATCTGATATGTTTATCTGCACCAATTTTGTTTATTTGTTCTTGTTTATTTGCAGCTTAACTGCACATTATTATTATTATTAAAAAAAAAAAAAAGCTTATGCAAAAATACTATTACTTTTACATGAACTGCCTATCAAGTAAAGGAAAAAATCCAGAAATGGAGGGCTAACCTTAGGCAACATGACAGCTCACGGATGGAGTGCAAAGTCCTATAGCTTACCTTCTCGTTGGTGCACTTCGTTAAGTAAGTTAAACAATTTTGTCTAATTTATGAACGGAATAGCCAAGGCAAATTATGTATAAAATTGTTTGTTAACAATACACACACAGCTTACTCTGAAGTTTGAATTGAAATTCGATAATTAAAATATTTTTTCAGTAAATTTACCGATATGAAGTATGCTAAGTTTTAAATGAATTTTGAAAAGTGAAATTTCTGAGTTTGCAACATATAGTCAAATTTGGGTACATTAATAGTGCGATAATTTCTTTCAAAGACAAAACGATTTAAGACATCTATTAAAAAGTTTAAGACAAATAGATAGATAAGATAATCCGTATAAGAATTTCCATGACTGTTAATTTCCATGACTGTTAATCTATGTTAATTCCGTATCTGTTAATCTAAGTAATCTCAATTTCTTAATACAAGAGGGATGGGGTTAATAAAAGTGGATGGAGGAGTTTAGTCAAGATTTAATGAACCGGGGGAGGGGAGGGTCAGAATTTACACTGAAAGTTTTATTACTTATCAGTAACTAGTATGTATTTTTTGATTTTTAAAGCTGATTTTCACTAATTTTTTTTTAGTTTTTAGATATAATTTTTTTGTTAAAACAAGTAAAAATTAATAAACGGGAGGGGGGTCTTAATAAGCTTAGTGTGAGTGGCAAAGTTTCCCCAAAATTAATAAACGCCCCCCTCCCCTTGGAATTAAGGACTCGAGAGTACACAATCAAATAAAGCCAAACACAATGAAATAGAACAGTTCAACGAGTTTTTCATTCACTGTTTTCAAAATTTTAATAAAAGTTAAAAACCTTAACCCCATTAAAAAATAGAACATTTTTTATATTATGATAGGTGCTGAAAACAATAAATTTGTCGAATCAGTAGACTATAAGTGGTTAAATCTTTTTTTAAATCTATAACAATACTGAAATTATTAACAAGTCTTTGACTAATTTCTTTATTTGTTTGTGTAAAAACAAATTTTAGATTTATGTTTATTTTGTACATATTTTGACGTTTTCGGCGTGTTTTATTTGGGTCCACGTTGTTCAATTGATAATTTATTAAAGAAAAATAAAAATAATTTAAGTTAATATTTATCATTAAAGTTTTGTTACGCTCAACGTATTATAAATTAAAACATTTGAAAATTTATTTTGTGTCAAAAAAGTTTAAAACATATTTAAACATATTATACAGTTATTTGACTATTTCATGGTACGTCTGCGTTAACCCCCAAAAAAAATTCTACTTATGAATTGTTCAAATAATTTAGATTTACAACTTATTTCTAATAAAGTTTTATTATAAGTTAGTTTACGCAACTTTTTACGCAAAAAAAAAAAAAAAAAAAAAAAAAAAGTTTTTTTTTTCGGTGCCAAAAATTGAACGAGATACTTTAAGAAAATATTTCATAAAAAGTCTATGAATTGAAAATATTAAAACACGTATATCTTTGGAACTAAATAAGCTACAGAGGTGGTTGAAACCATTTTGAAAATGAAATATATTAAGAAATATAATGCATTTAATATAAAAAATATTTACATTTGCTATAAATATTGCCTAAACTGCCTACTTTAAGGCATAAAAGACTATAGTAAATTTGTTTTCGTGTTGTTTTTGAAAGGAAAAAACTTATTTTTTGTTGTAGTTTCATTTGTTTATGGTTTTAAAATATATAATTAATTTAAGCAAAAATAAAGTAAAATGGGGCATTTTCGTCACTTTAGAAATTTCGCCACCAATTAGTGTATATCTACTTTTACAACCATAACTTTACTCAGGAAAAAAATTTTTTTATAATCCAAATTTCTATTTGAAGAAAAACAAATTTCTTATCAAATCATGTAAAAAATATCTTTTCCTTTCCTCTTGTTTGGTAAATAATTTTTCAAGTCATGTTGGTCTTATAATCAATTCAAATTAATTAAATCGATCAATTACTAGCAACAATGCCAAGAGAAAATCCGTCACCGATTATAGCGAAAAGCTTATGGAAAAACCCTAGTTGGCGAACTGAGTTGCAAGCGAGGTGCAGAAGATATATATACATATTTATAAGTTAGAGCTTTTTTATTAAATCATTTTTCTCTTATATGAGCAATTGCTCAGAGTAAAAGCTCTCTTGCAAAAAAAAGCATTTGCTTAAAATTTTTATTCGCGTAATTTGAGCAATTACTCCAAAAACTTGAAGTTAATTTTTATTCACCCGGCCTAATGGCTCTCACTACCGTAACACGGGGTTACTTTGGCTAGCGGGGTTACTTTAGCCATTTAAAAAAACTTTAATTAAACATCTGCAACTTTTAAACAGTAAAGTAACGTTTTACTATTTTAAATAGTAAAACCTTGCTATTTTAAATAGTAACAGGTTACTTAACTATTTAAAAGTCACAGATGTTTAATTAAACTTTTTAAAAATGGCTAAAGTATTAGTAAAGTGTTACGGTATATGAGCCGAAATATCACGTAAAAAAAGAAATAAATAGTATAAATAGTATGATAACGTAAATGATGTTTTAACAATATAATATAATATATATGCTTATATATAATATATATATATATATATATATACATATATATATATATATATATATATATATATATATATATATATATATATATATATATATATATATATATACATATACATATATATATCTATATCTATATATATATACATATATATATATATATATATATATATATATATATATATATATATATATATATATATATATATATGTATATATCTATATATATATATACATATATATACATATATATATATATATATATATATATATATATATATATATATATATATATATATATATATATATATATACATATATATATATATATATATATATATATGTATATATATATATATATATATATATATATATATATGTGTGTGTGTGTGTGTGTGTGTATATATATTATATATATAGATATATATGTGTATATATATATATATATATATATATATATTTATATGTATATATATATGTATTTAAGTTATATATATACAGATATATATGTATATATAAATATATATATATATATATATATATTATATACATATATATATATATATATATATATATATATATATATATATATATATATATATATATATATATATATATATATATATATATATATATATATATATATATATATATATACATATATATCTATATATATACATAGGTATTATATATATATATATATATATATATATATATATATATATATATATATATATATATATATATATATATATATATATATATATATATATATATATATATATATATATATATATATATATATATAAGTTAGTCAATATATTTTGATCTAGTGTAAGCTTTAAAAACTATAAAGTCAAAAATTTAAAAAC